GTTCCTGCAGCCCCCCAACAATTACAGAGCTGGGGGGAAGTGGCAGGTGGGCAGATTAAAAGGTGTCTCCACAACCCAGCCCAGCTATTAAAAGCATTACAGTCATTTAGCACTTGGGACATCTAATTAGACGGAGGCAAGAGTCTGAAGGGGATTGCAGGCAACCCAGCTTGTATTCGCTCCCACAGGGTGTGCTTCGGAGGAGGCTGACCAGGCCTTCTTGTGAGGAGGGCTGGGACGGAGCCATCCTTTGCTCGGCCTCCTCCAAACATGTCGGAATCCTGGAATTTGTATCAGGAAGGCAGGCTGGTGCAATCCCCCAACTGAACCACTTTGGCACAGTGTGATTATCGGTGCAACTTTAAGCACGTTTCCTTGGACTCAGAGCTGCTTTAACACCTTGCCTTTCCTGGGGGCCGAAATAAGTAACTAGGGCATCCCAGCCCCTGAGCTTTCCATGGTCCTGTCCCTGAAATGGATAAGCAGGAGCTGGGGAAGGGACGGGGCAGCCATCGCCCGAATCTTCCTGCTGGACAGATGCTCTCTTGGGGATTCTGCGGGAACTGGGACGGGCTACTTAACCCTGCACCCAGTCTGAGCGGAGTTCACAGTAATTTCATTCCCAGCCTCGAGCATCAGAGTTTTCCCTTTTGGTTTTTTGATGGGACAATCAAGTTCCCTTCTACCTTTCCTCGGGGGCAGCTATTTCCCTCCAGCAAAACCGGGGGTGTATCCAATGTTCTGTACATGGAATAGACCCCACTGGAAGATTCAGTTCCCCCCTTTCCCTGCAACCTTCCCAGTTTGTGCTGGAGGACAGGAATTAAATGTTGGGTGCAGGGTTGCGAGAAAAGCCTTCTCTTGCATGAAGAAAACTCATCTTTTTTAATGCTTTTTTCCCCTTAGATGAAAGGACTGTAACCACAAGGCAAGATTAGCTTTGCAAGCACAACGAGAGCCACACAACCCTGCAAATCCAGCAGGGCTTTCGTACTGCCCATTTTGCCCCATGTCTCAGGCCACCTGCTGACTTGCCACTTTATACAGAAAACACCCCACGAATTTGGCTGCCTTTACACCACATGTATAGCCAGTTACTAAGTTAACCCATCCTCTGGGATTGCATGATCAGTCGAACTTGAAACAAAACAAGTTGGCTGCATTCACACAACCCCCTAAGTCACAACCGATCTAAGCCAGACTGACCCTAACGAAGTGGAGCAATTTGTGGGAATGTGCGGACTAGGCCTTTCACAGACCTGGTTCAGTGTGCGGTGGAAACATGGTTAGAGTGTTTTCTTTTTCCTTTCCTTAGAGCAGCTTCCGCACACCTTCAAGGGGCCAAGGTTGAGAAACACTGCCTTGGAGAAACAGCTTATCCAGAAAGGTTCTGGATGACCGTCTGGGCACGATGCTACATCCTGGAGCTGCTACTCACGGCCCTGCTTTGGACCTAAGGAACCACTTACTTCTTCCATCGCACAGCCTAAGGAGTACAGCTCTGCTCGGATTTCACGCCACGGGCCTTCCACAGAACCCCCACTTCTCTACCAAGGAAGCTTGGGTCATTTTGCTCCCTAACCCTGTCGACTTGCACACAGAAAGGGTTCTGCACATTGCATTTAAGTTCAGAAGAAGCCACCCCCCCCCCCCCAGCCAATCAAGCAAGAACTGGGAGGCGGTGGCCCAACCCTAGGAAGAGGGGTAGTTCTCTATCAAATGGGGAGGGGCAGATAAACGCCGCCCGATCTGTTCCTTCTCCTTAAGCGACCCTGCAGGGAGATCCGGGACCCCAGACCAGAAAGCAGCGGGGGGTCCGGCTGCCCCTTTTCAGCCTCGGCATTTTCTTCAAGGCACGGAAGCAGCTCGCCGAAGCTGAGCCCTCCGAATCAAGGGGCCCGGCGGAGGAGACGCGACCGGACCCCCGGCTGACTGCGCCCAGCTC